CTCATTTTCAGAATCCGGGTTGAATCGATATAAGACTCCTTGGTCCATAACATAGCCTCGTTCAGACCACCGTTGTGCTGATAATTCATCGTTACTTTCTATATCTTTAACGATCTTTTCTACTTCTGGATCAGCAAGTTGATCTCTTCGCAGTTCTGTAGGCGGCTTTCTGGGTAGGTCAATAATTACTGAGCAGATGCCGCAATTCTCTCGATTGTCCTCAGTGCAAACAGGTCTACTTAGGGTGTCTGCTACGACATTAGCTTTACCTGGAGTGTACTGAAATTTGATATCAAAGGACTGGAGTTTTAATGACCATCGTACTAACCTGCCTGTAGGTGATTTTAGAGACAGTAACCACCGCAGTGGTTGGTGATCACTTCCGATGATAACTGGATGGCCATCGAGGTACGACCGGAAACGCTCGACCGCCCATACTACGACAAGAGCTTCGCGCTCTGTGGTCGAGTAGTTGCGTTCTGCCGAGTTTAACAAGCGGCTTGCATATTCAATGGGTCTTTCATCCTTGCCCTCCCCCTGTAATAAAACTGCACCTAAAGCGTAGTTACTTGCGTCTGTGCGCAGAACAAAGGGGCGTGTAAAATCTGCCTGAATTAAAATTGGAGCAGTCGTCAATAAACGTTTGAGTTCGTTAAACGCTTGTGTTTGTTCAGGTCCCCAGGTCCATTCATGATTTTTCCTCGTTAAACGAGTCAGTGGTTCGGCTACTTTTGAGAAATTCGGAATAAATTTTCGGAACCATGAACAGGTTTGTAGAAAAGTTCGTAAATGCTTAAGGTTAGATGGTACTTTCATTTTGAGTACAGCACTTACCTTGTCTGGATCCGTTGAAACCCCATCTTGAGTGATAACGTGGCCGAGATACTTAACGCTCTCCCTAGCGAAAGCACACTTCTTCCTGTTCACGTGGAGGTTGAACTCGGCCAGACGCTTGAAAACTATCTCGAGGTCCTGGAGATGTTGTGAGAGCCCTTCCGATATTATCAAAATATCATCCATGTAGGCCAGGATAGTAACGTCCTGTAGTGCTGGACAAGAACGGAGCCGATCTATGAGTCTCTGGAAAGTCGCAGGCGCGTTTTTGAGGCCAAACGGCATGCGCTTGAAACGGTAAGTACCTAGAGGCGATATAAAAGCAGTTTTGTCTCTGTCTGCCTCTTGTACACTGACCTGCCAGTATGAAGACCGAAGATCTAAGGAGCTCATGAAGCAGTTCCTCTTCGTACCTTGCAGCAGCTCGTCGATGCGTGGCATCGGGTAGGTATCAGACTTGGTGATGGCGTTTAAGCGCCTATAGTCAACGCAGAACCGTATGCTTCCATCGGACTTCGGCACCAGCAGTGCCGGGGAGCACCAAGCTGATTCACATTCTTCTATTATATCTTCTTGCAGCATTTTATCAATTTCTTTCTTCATTAGTTCCTTTTTTGAAGGATTAAGGCGATAAGGAGGTACAGCTATAGGAGCGTGCTCACCTGTGTCTATCCGGTGTTCAGCATATGGAGTGGGATCACCACCTTGTGCAAAAATGTACGCGTGCCTCGATATTAAATCTGCAAGAGCGTGTCGCTCTGCTGGCTTAAGGTGCTTGCCTTCATCTTCTCTGAGAACATCCGCAGAGGCACAGGAAACAACTCGAGAAGCAGATTCAAATAATAATTTATATTGTTTGTTATTATTATTACTAAAATACCAAATTTTATTATGAAAGTCAATTACCACACCTGCAGCGGTAATAAAATCTATTCCCAATAATGTTTCATTATTATTTGATTCGGGAAAAATAAGAAACGGTACTGTAATCACTAAGTGTTTTAGTTTTACCGGTAATGATGTAGTAAGTACATCCATTCTCCTAACATGACCGTCAGCAAGTTTTACCTGCCTGGATGAACGGTTGAGAGGTTGACCCTTTTTTATCAGGAGAGCGTATAGCGTATGACCGGCAATACAATGTTTAGCTGCAGTATCTATCAAAGCAGTTCTTTCTGCATTTAAAATTTCTATATTAAATATGGGACGCGAATCCGGTGAAGAAGAGGTGTCGACGTGCGCACTACCGTGTGATGAAATAGTACAGACATTAGAACATAACGTTTGACACATAATTGAATCATCTATTTTACCAGAAAAAGTTTCGACACATAAAACATTACAATCACATTTACTGTTTATATCATACACTGTGGTATTAACATTGCCCTTATTATTAAAAGGTAATAAACATTCCGATAAAACGACGTAATTATCGTTAGTTAAATTTTCACACAAAATTTTACTGTTCGTATCATACACTGTGGTCGTATTATTTTCATTACAATGTGATTGAACAAAGTTATCGTTATTATTAAAATTGTCACAAGAAGTCTTACAATTAGTATTACTGTACGTATCATACACTGTGGACGTGCGATTTTCATTACAATGTGATTGAACAAAGTTATTATCATTATTCATATTTTCATACAGAATCTTACAATTTGAGTTACTGTTAAATACATTTACTGTGTTCAACTTCTGTTTATCAAAATCAGTTGCAAAATATTGCGAAAGAAAAGAGTTCTTATTACCTAAATCTAGCATACAATGTTCATTTTTCAAAAAAAAATCGCTATTCTCTGTACGATTATTATTAGACAATGACAAATTAGAGTAATTTGGAGAGGCATTATTTATAAAAGAACTAACACTATAGAAACAGTCTTTGTGATTGTTATTATAATTATCACTGTCACTTAATTCTGCGGGAAAGTTATTATAAGGTTGCGACTCACCTTTATTTTCTAACTTACGGCACTGATCACGTGTATGCCCATACCTACGACAGTACGAGCACATAGGGCGTTGCGGCTTGCGTGACGAACTCGTTGATGCTGGCGACGACGCCGGCGACGTCGTCATTGAGTTGCCACGGGCGGAACTATAGCGCCCCATAGGATGCTGCGGCGGCGGCGGCGGCACTCGGGTCGCGGCAGGCGAAACATGATCGGACGCAACGAGTGGTGGGTCGAGTCGTCGGATTTGTGACAAGTGGTTACTTGTGGGCGAACTTGCGACAACGTACGCGGCTGGTCGATGCGTCGCGGCAGATAAACGTTGCGTAGTAGGAGTCATCGTTAGCGGTGAACTTGTTACGTCAACGGTGCGGGCGGGCGGGCGGTGCATCGCGGCTCTCAGCGGCGGCGTCCTCTCCCCCTCGTCCATAGAATCTTCTATATTCCTAGCGTGACGTAATAAGTCTGAAAAACTTTGGAAGTCTTCGCGGCGTAATCTCTCTCGTATTCGTTTATGCAAAAGCCCATAAGTCATATCGAGTTGCGCTCTTGTGGAAATATCGCCCTTGGGTAGTCGAGCCATAAGGGCGCGTACTCGCGCAACAAATATATCTGTGTTTTCATTCTTCTGATGAGAAGAAAAAATTTCCAAATAAATACGGTGGGGTGGTCGACGATCTCCATAAGCACTGATCAAGTTCTCTTTTGCTTCTTGCCATGTATTAATTTGGTTTTTGATACCTAACCACCATGTGGCTGCATTGTCCTTGAGAAGCATCGACATACCTTTGATTATGTTCACGTCGGCGACTTGCACACAATCTATGTAGCTATCGACGGCGTCGATGAACGTTTGTACATTTTCGTGTGCGCTTCCGCTGAAAGTAGCTTTACAACGCTCCATTGTAGCTATTTCACTAAATGGTGTTGATGTTCTCGACCGTGACATGAATTCGACTACGTTCTTTAGAGAGTCGAGTAGAGATGCTACGTTCTCCTGCGTAAACGTCGCGGCGGCTGCGCCAGCGGCGTGACTCGTCGTCTCCTCAGCGGAGGAGGGGGCGGCGGCGGCAGGCAAAGAATCGTCTTCATCATATCTATTATTCCTCGTATTAGGCATATCGATGTCGACACAAGTTCGTAAAACGTATGTAAACGACACGCGCACTGAAAAAATCGGTCACCGCAGTACACTCGAAATGGCGTCGTTTTTCACTGCACTTTTATAAATCACGTTGGGCTCCAGATTTGAGAGATATTTCTCAGGGTTCGAAAAGAAAACAAATCTTGATCTAAATAATTTGTTATTTCACCTTTTTTGTACAGTGAGATTGCACAGAACGTAGTTACAATTGATACGATAGCGCGCGCGCATTCACTCTGAGAGTTCGTGGCGCACTAGCGCAGTGGCGCGCGTGAGATGTTCGTTAAGTTGCCCGTGCGATCGAACCATCTCGAAACCGGGCTGGCAACCGCCCGCGAGAAACTCTAGTTGGTAGACGTGCTTTCCGGTTTGCTATAATAACTATTTATCACCACCTATTTACCTTTTAAACTATTTTTATTGTGCTTTCAATTATTTTTGTGATTCCGGTAGTACTTGTGGATAGACCAAACATTGTTATAGCATCATACCTAGACGACATAATTCTCTATTAAGAGTGTACGCCCAGCGTACTAAAAATAAATAAATAAAAATAATATATTTAAAGATTAACTGACGTCACTACCATAACAATGTTGTGTTTAAAAACTGCGATTGCTTCCCTGTAACCCCTAGAATCGATCACTGTGGTACATATTCTGACTAATCGAATGTGATTCTAGCATCTATCTCGTGGAATTCAAACAATGTTACATCCTGTAAACAATAAACAAACGGTGTAAACAAAAAATTTCTTGGACTTACATACATGCGGACGGGAGCTACTGATATTGGTCGCAGTTCTAGCACTGCATTCCAATACAATAGTGTGATTACTGCTCATTAAAACGTGGAAAAATTATATTATTTTAACTAACCGCGTAAACACTGAGTATAACAATTCCAATGTGCGAATATACAAAGAAAAAAACGAAAGAAAAACAATTTCCTGGAATATTGAGAATTTAATTATATAAGAAAAGGTATATTTGCATTGAATTTCAAATTGAGAACGCGCGTGAAGTTCGTAAATACTAATGTGACCCGCCAAAAAGGATGCAATGACATCAGTCAACATCACTGAAGACCTATGCAAGATATGTGATGGTAGAATAGAGTGCGCACCTACAGCTATCTTGCTCATCTCCCTGGTTCATACCTTATACGGACATATTGCCCCTGAACCTGATTACTTTGGAAAGAATAAAGAAGCTTTACTCAGGTCACAGGACAGTCCTGCAAATGAAGATTATATTATTCCTAAGTACAGGTAAAAGTAGCTTAACAGCTCATATACATTTTTTTAGTTATTCTCGGGTATATCTTAAATATCTAACACAAACTTTTCAGTCCCACAAAATGCAGATTACATCAACATTTCCATTGGGAACTTTAAAAAACAATAAATTCATCCCTTGTTACATCTACCATAGGTTACAAGACTAAAATAATATTTATTCACTATAACTGACTTTAATTTAATTCAAAGAAGCCGGTTCAATTTATCAATGGATATAAACCATGATCAAGAAGTCTCTCGACTCTGTAAACCATCTTTATTATTGAATTGAATTATTTTTTGAAGTGGAGTGTGGCTTTTCCTTGGAAAATAAAAAAAAAATATTCCTATTTTTGAACGTTGGTACGGTGAAAAAAACCCAGTTTTATTTACCATCCATTTCTTTAGATCTCTGATGAATTTGTTGACGAATAACAAGTATCTATCTTGCAGAGAGATAATAATAATCAGGGAAATTCCAGTTATTATAAGCCATTGAAAATTTTACTCTGAAACCAATTTAATGTGAATGACTTCGCTGTAACAAGTACTATAATGTTTTTATTGTTATATCATACTATGTTTTTGAATTTTCACTGATGATTATGAATTACAAGTAATGATTTTAATAGATAAATGGTCGTAATATGGTGAATAAAAATAGTTGCTCGAAAAGTAGTCCATTTTTAAATCAAATACAAATGCATCTTAACTTGATGTAAGCGATAAAAATAATTAAATATAAGAGAAAAATATTCCATGTTAATTATGATAGAATTATTTGATGACTTCAGACCCTACGGCTACTTCGACAAGGTAAAAGAAGAGCAAAAGAATATTAAAATTGAAGATAATGATAACCAGTTGGCCGAATACGACTTCATTGTGGTTGGTGGTGGTACAGCAGGTTGTGTGATCGCCAGCAGACTGTCGGAGAATAGAAAGTGGAAGGTATACCTTGAATTATGACTGAAGCCAGTTACGTTAAACTAAATAAGGTCGACCTTACAACAACAGAGCGAAGAATAGAAAATCTGTTTATCGTCCGCGTAGAATCTAATAAATCCAAGGGCATACGTTCGATTCCCGTAAATATTTATGTCGTGGATACGAGCGTCATGTTTAGAGTACAAACACTAAAGATAGAATTTAAATATAAGCGTTCGATATCCGGCTATTAGTCTGAACTTTCAAGTAAGTAGTATTGAATTCAGCGGCATGTAAAATACAAGGAATATACTACTACAATGATTAGAGAGTCTTTCCTGGTATGAAGGTTTCAACAATTTACAAACACAAGTTTCTACTTTTACATTTACATAAAGTGATGTTTTTGCGATCTCAATTAATTAAATAAAATAACAATGTAAGTAATACACGTCCACCATCAATGGACAAAATTCTTTCAATGGTAATTTGGGCCATCGTAGGCGTCGTCGACATTACTGTTTCTAGGGCATAGTACAATTAGGGTTAATTGGGTTTGCTTCATATACAAATCTCATGCGTGCGATGAAGACATTGATGAGATAATGTCATCAAACAGACCAAAATACGTGACAAAATCAACTAAATAGTGATTTTTTCTGTTTTCTAAATAATATACGATTGAAATAAATGTTTGAATGACGTTAACTCTTTTAAATGGTTTATTTTATTTTATTGTATTTGGGAAACAAACAATATTAATAATAAATACAAATAATGAATTTATAAGTAAAGTTTCCACTAATAGTTTTTACAATAAACATGTCAATTTTCATATTCAATTATTATTATTTGAATTAATTTTCAGTCACCACTATAATGTCACCAGAACGTTACACTATTGTTAATATTGAAATTACATTATTGATTAAATTAAATTTAAATATAAAATTTATTACTACTACAAGTAATATATGGAGGAGAAATTTGATTGTTTGGGTTCAATAGGTTCCGAAACTACTAGACTGATTACAATTTTTTTCACCTACGGGAAGCTTCATCTTACGCGAGTGATATAACCTATAATTAATGTAGGTAAAGTTGTGGGAAAACAGTTAATAGGTTTGTAAAATTTATAAACGTTTCAATCTAACATCACTGTTAATTTATTTAGTTATGAAAACCTTAAAATAATAAAAAGCCAGCTTAGTTATTTTTAAAGTCTACGGAAAATAATTTGCTTACTTTTAACACCAGGTTTTATTGATTGAAGCGGGTCCTGAGGAGCCGAAGATTGCATCTATTCCTAGCTTGACCAGTGAGTTTAGAGGCTCTGCACTGGACTGGCAGTACAGCATGAGGCCAAAAAAGGGGTGAGTTTTTCAAAATAACAGCTAGACTCAACGAAAGGAAAAGGAATCTTTGCTCATTAATTATATAGCTTTAACTTGTTCTAGATTTTGTCAAAATCGACTCGATAAGGGCTGCGAAGTGGTCCAAGGAAGAGTTTTAGGAGGGACATCTACCATAAACGATATGGCCTATATGAGAGGCAGTCCTGCAGACTATGATGAATGGGCTATCAATGGTAATCAGGGTTGGAGTTTCTCCGAAGTTCTCCCGTACTTTAAATACTCTGAAGGCAACTATGACAGAGATATATATAAAAATAAATTCTTCCATTCAACACAAGGACCGTTGGATATAGGACGTTATCCATACGTAGATGATAATGTTGACGTTTTGTTAAGTGCTTTCAATGAACTCGGTTACAATTATACAGACATCAATGGTAGAAATCAGCTTGGTTTCATGAGAATACAAACTATGTCTTATTTTGGTGAGAGAGTAAGTGCATTTACCGCTTTTATTGAACCTGTTAGAAAATTAAGGTCTAACCTTGTCATTATTACAGAAGCATTAGTTACTAAAATTGCATTTCAAGAGCATAGACAAGCTATTAAAGCATTAGGTATTGAGTATATTCAAAATGGTACAAAAGTAAGAATAAGAGCGAAAAAAGAAGTTATAGTTACAGCTGGTGCAATCAATTCGCCTAAACTATTGATGCAATCTGGAATAGGATCAAAAGAGTACTTAGAATATTTAAATATTAAATCTGTTTATGATCTCCCCGTTGGAGCTAATTTTCAAGATCATCTTTCAGTTTGTCTACCAGTAATAAAATTAAAAAAGACGTCAACATTGCAGAAGTTTCCAGACAAATTAAAAGATATCACAACATATTATTCAAAGGGTATTGGCCCACTTTCGGCCAATTTTCAGGTAGTTGCATATATTGAAACAAATTTATCTGATATATTGGGAACTCCTGATATAGAAGTAAGATTCAAAGGGCATAATTCTAATATGTATTATGATAAGATCGATATATGTTTATCTCTTCTAACTCCAAAGAGTAGAGGGCAAGTCGTTTTGAATGCAAGTGATCCTGTCTTTGGAAAACCTCTCATTTATCCCAATTTTCTCAAAGATCCCACAGACGAAAAGAAACTGTTAGAAGGCATACAAGAAATTACGAAACTTTTTGATACAGATGTGTTTAAGAGTGCTGATTTCGAATTCGATCCACGACCAATATTAAACAACGAGTGTAAAAATCATGAAAAGGTTTCTCAAGAATTTTGGTCTTGTATCATTAGACACTTCACAAGTCCATTACATAACTATGCAGGGACATGTAAAATGGGATCTACTAAAGACCCAGACTCAGTAGTTGATCACGACCTAAAAGTTTATGGGACTACTAATTTAAGAGTAGCTGACGCGTCAATAATGCCGAAAATTACACGAGGATCCACAGCAGCTCCAGTTATAATGATAGCGGAAAAAGCGAGCGATTTAATAAAAACAACTTGGTACTGACTATTGTTTTTATTTATAAAATATTTCGTCGTCACCTATTGTTATATGAGCCAATGTTCTCCTTCCAGTCTTTTAGAATCATTCGAGATGCCTTTTCTGCAATCATCATTGTCGGTGCGTATATATTTCCTCTAACATGACTTGGCATCACTGAGGCATCTGCTATTCTTAGACCGTCAATACCATGAACTCTTAATTTAAAATCCACCACAGAATCTGTGCTATTTCCTCCCATTCGACAAGTTCCAATCGGGTTACTCATAGCTTTAGTGTAGTGTCTCGCTATACAATTCCACTGATCTCTGTTTCTTAATCTATCACATGGAAATAGATCTATAGAAGCTAGTTTTATTTCTGCCCTTTTCATTTCCTTCGTATCTAATAACTGTAATGCTATATCTATACTATCAACTAAAGTATCCAAATCTTCAGATTCTTTAAGAAAATTTGCCTGTATGACGGGTCTGCCAAGCTTTGGATTCCTTTTGTTTAAGGTGACTTTTCCTTTGCTTTTAGGTCTTAACAGTATAGGATACAAATTAACTAAGTTGTAATATGATAATGGCATAGTCGTTTCTTCAGCGACATTAACGCTTATATTTGTTAACATAAATTTGTCACTCCTTATAAAATTTCCTTCTAAAGACAGTTCGATATCTGGTGCGTTAAAATTTTCATATAATTGTATAAAAGCTGATATTTGACCGATACCTTTAGATGCTAATGGACCACTCCGATTTTGAAACCACGTTTTAAAATCATTAATTATTTGATTTTCACTGACAGAAGCGGCATCAGCGATAGCAAACGATAAGCCACCGGTGGTCACCTGATCTTGATAATTTAGTCCAACAGGCAAATCAACTATTGTAGTAATGTTATGTTTTTTCAAATCTAATTTTGGTCCAATGCCAGACAAGTGTAATAGTTTCACGTTATTAATAGCACCACCGGTTAGAATCGTTTCTCTCTTGGCATAAGCGGGTCTTTCTTTTCCTTTTTCGATTTCATACATAACTCCGTCTACAGACTTTTCTTGTGTATTGATCATTATTTTAGTTACGGTCACACCAGTTAATACTGTCAAATTCTTTCTGTGTTTAACTGGTTTCAAGAAAGCACTGTTTGTACTCACTCTTGTATTATTTGATATGGTGAATTGATGGTTGACAACAGCTTCCGCGATATTAGTATTTAAATCATGAGTGCGTAGTCCCATTTCTGAAAATGCAGCCTCGAACACTTCCATGTAACGGTCAACATGTTTAAATCTTTGCACGCGCATCTCACCTCCTCTTGTATGGAAGAAGGAGTTGATCAAAGTGTCATAGTCACCTTAAATTAAAAAATATAATTGGTAACTAATAAAATAAGAAAAATATTAAATGTATTTTTTTTCTCTTATCCTACTTACCATTGTCTTCAGAAGCTTTGAACATATCAATCAAATTGCTAAACTTCCATTCTAATGACTCCATTGCCCCTGAATTGTGCCAACCATCATAATCAATCTTATGACCCCTGGTGTACTTCATATCGTTAGTAACGCTGGAGCCTCCAAGCACCTTGCCAGTCCTGACTTCGCAGCTACCACCAGGTCTAGAGAGGCAGGAAAAGCCGTTCTTCTCAGTTCTATAATTCCACAATATAGGCCGGTAATCTTTAGTCGGAACTCCTGGGATTTGGTAATCAATATTTTCTTCATCACCAGCTTCGAGAACTAAAACCTAGCATCAACCAACAGAATAATCATAATTATTTATTGTTTTTTTGCATTCAATTTACATAAATTGAGGAATTATTAAATTAAAATCTTCAAATTTCAGATCTTACAAAATTAGGTTAATTCACTTATAAACATTTCGCTTACAGTTAATTAATTAAAAACCTTTTAGGCTAATAAGTTGGATTATAATGTTTATGTTTAAAACGGAAATATCGTGACCACGTAGAATTAAGCTTCCAGGTAATGACCGTGTCATTAACACTGCTCAACAGGTCGAAACTATAAAGAATGGATTTAAAACCATGTTGAGTTGAACTATTAGAAAAGTCACCATCACAATATGGAAATAAAAACTTGTTATAGAATGAAAAGTTATTTAAAAAATACAGCACCGAGTAGGCTATTATTAATTTAATGGTGTATTGAACTAGAAATTTTATAATTAGATTTGGATTGTAACTAAAAGGATAATAATTTTAGCTTTGAATAGTGCAAAATCTTTTTATTAATAGTGTTCAAAATGTACTAACGGCGTTTTCTGGCTTGACGAACTAATGGTTATCGTTTCTAATACATTGCATGAAAAAAACCGGTTGTTATTCTGTTCAAACACATCTTTTTAACATTGTATATGACAATAAAAAAACATAACTTATATCTGAAAGCGAAAGCAATATTTTAAAAGTTTTCAAAAACTAATATTTTACTGAAATTCATAAAATATTATCATTGTGTTAATAATATCTGCACTGGTTTGAGAGTTCAAGGAGCTAATTTCAAAAACGAATCATTTCGAGTGTAATGTTGTTGTATACATTTCGACTCATTAAAAAAAAAAAAAGAATATAAATGATATTTACCTATAAGAACAAATATGGATGAAGAAAGAAAATGGGTAAACCGTGTGAAAGAACTATTCAAACAATTTATAAATCAATGTTATATTCACTAAAGATTTTTCAAGAAATACATTTGACTACAACTTCAATAAATGTAGATTTGGAAAAATATACGATAACTTTATTTCAATGAAAGTGCATTATTTATTTCTGTCACTTCTTCAAATCGTCGACGTCAATCAACTATCCAAAAGTCTTTTTGTGCGTTTTCATTAATTACGCAATAGAAGAATCACAAATTAAATTTCTGTTCATTTGCATCTACTATATGAAAATTTATTGTTAAAAATGATTATAAAGTTGACTATACGGCAGATTACATTGTTTTCCGAATATGCTACCATTAAAATGTTATATAAAGTACTAGCTTTTGCCCGCGATTTCCCCCGCGTGGTCTAGCTCTAGGTCCAGAAATGAGAAAATTCCTTAAAAATGTTCATCCTCTTATTTACCCCGTTAGGGGTCGAATTTCGTAAAATCCCGTCTTGATAAGCACCTACGTCCTTAAAAAAACCCGCATGCAAAATTTGAAACTCCTAGCACTTGTAGTAACGAAGTTTCATACAAACTTCCATCTCCTAATATAGCACCTTACGGGTGGAATTTAAAAAAAATCTCTCTTAGTGCTCCTCTTAACCCCCTAAAGGATCTTCATTCCAAATTGTAACTTTCTACGCTCAGTAGTTTCGGCTGTATGTTTTCTGTCAGTCAGTCAGTTACTCAGTAACGCAGGAATTTTATATATATATGTAGATTTTGTAAGTCTTGTTACCTACTGTTTTTTTTTAATATTGTGGAGTTTTATGTGGATATTCTTCTTCTAATTTGAATAAAGATTTTGAAATTAAAATTATGATTTTGACTTAGATATAGTAATAAAGAGGTGAGTGAATAGAGATATGCGTGTAATAAAGAAAGAAAAACACTTATTTCGCCTTCACTAATTGAAATTATGATTAAGTCAAGTAAACATTGTTTTTTGTACCTTCCAATCGTGCACAGCAGAGAGCCTGTTAGCGATTATACAACCAGCCGTGCCACCGCCCACTATGATGAAATCGAACACGCTGTTCCTCAGATCCCTTTCATCAGCTTTTGTCCTTGTCGCTTTGGAGAACAGATCAGCTGAACATGACGCGAACACCATCAGCAGTGTCAGGCTAAACCATTCCCTGGAGACATCGTAGCTTTTATTTGAGTATATATAATGTCCGCTTTTTTTGTCCATAGTGAGTAGAGAGTAGCATTCGCTGGGGACATGCCAGTCAGAGATCGCTTTTCGCTTGTCTCGACTTTCACAAGGGCTGGTAATGGGACGGATAGTCAAATATATTGTAACTTCGTGCTCCTTCGGTGCTTAGGAAGGTATATTAAGCCGTCGGTTCCAGCTGTAGCATCGTTAACACCCACTAAATCGCACTGAACCCTTTCGGTAGGTTATGGTCTATTCGTTCCTATTTTCGTTTCGATTACACCCATAACTGCTGCTGATATTATTGAATTTGCTTTACTACATATGCTATGTTGGACTTACATTAAATATAAAATATATATATGATTAATTACATCACAGTTAGGTACTCCTTAAATTACAAAAAAGCGGCATTTAATGGAACCTAAAAAATAATATTTGGACATTATTTCTTAGCACAAGATCAACTGAAAGTAAATTGGAAAGTAATGATTTGTGAACATGCTTATCTTAAATATTTTCTAATTTTTATAACAGACTTGACGTAAATTCTCGTGACGCTAAATATAAAAAAAGACCTCGAAACACCTCTTCTCATAAAGTTTCTTTGTCTACTTAAATAAAGATCGTAGAACGAATGGGCTATTAGTTCGTTTCTCAGTCCGTTTTATGGCATGTTAAAATAGTTTGTCAATATGTAGGCGTGACCAATACGTACAGTAGTATAGAATATTTATAGGTGTCATTAAACACAATTAGGTTGTTAGGACAGCTACATTTCTTTCTATTAATTTGTTTGTAAGAATCAAATATTATATAATAGTAGCTGCATTTCCGTGATTTACGGTCAGTTGCACAAACGTCCATTAAGATTTAATGACACCTTTAAGCTCTAATGAATGTCAAATTTTATAGGTAATGTCGCTTTAAGCTAATGACAATAATTGTAATCGACTTGCACAAACAAACTTGCTATTAGCCCGCTTAAATTATATCCTATGTTACGTATGCGTATGATGGAGTTTTCAAAATAGATCCAGTAATTTAATAGTTTCGGAGTCTTTTCAATGCAAACAAATAGAATTAAATTAATTTTCCACTTTATAATATTGGTCCAGATATAGAATTCAATTTATATATTATTTATACGCATAATAAATATTTATACGAAAATTATCATTATTTTGTTAATTGCGAACCATTTTTTTTTCACTTCGGCTAAATACTACGACTATTTAACAAATTTTACAATTAGTGCAATTACAAAAGAATTATTATTAAAAGAAATTGTATATATACAATGATGTATTATGAATACGTGATATATAATATCTTTAGATAGTTGTATTTTGATACTTCCCGACCTAATTACATGTAAATATTTATAGTATTTTTTTTTATATCACAATTTACTTGGACATTATTTTTTTATTCACATAGTCATTTTTTAAACGTGTCCCACTAATGAAGGGGTTTAAAAACGTAAGAATAAGTTTTAATTAAATATTATGTTATTACCGTATAATGCACATAACTCCTCATTTATACACACACGTTAGCAACACAAACAGACGGACTCAAAACTGCACGGATTGCCCAATATGACTGTAGGAAGTGAGTTTACTTGGTCCAACAAACAGCGCATCCTGCAACCAACTTGTTGCAAAATCACGGCCGTAAAAGGATATCAACAACGATTAATTGTTGTGATCACTGTCTATTTGATATATAAACCGTGATATTGAAAATATATTTTCAATAAAATTAATTAGTAGTGATTATGTTATTGAATATTTTCTTGTTACTTTTTTAGTGTATGTGTGTGTATATTCCTTTCTTTCTCTTTTTTAAGATACTTACTTGTTGTAAGCAGTAGGAAATTTGTACATATTTTTATAAGTTTAAACGGTTTTATTGTTAAGCAGTGTTATATATATATATAATGCAGTTTTATATAATAACCAGCTTTTGCTGACTTCATCCGCGTGGTATGGTTACTTTGAGCAGCATTTCTAAAACGAATATTTATTAATTATATCGTGTAAAATACCCGAAATAAAGTTTCTTGATCTTATCTTTGACAATTACGAACTTCCGTACAATCTATTTATCACAATAATAGTGTCCTATAACAAGTCAACTCTGCTTAGTGGGTTAGGCGTGAGAGCGTAACTGACATATACACAGACCTACTTTAGCGTATTCAATATTAATATGAAATAATTAGACGATTCTCCTTGTTGGTGATTACATAATAATAGGCATATTATATTATAATAATAGATTACGAGGCAGCTTCGAGGTTGAATTTCCACATACCCCTTTTTAATACACCTCACCTCTACATAATAAGAGTTATGTATCCTCCAATTTTTAAGTCTCTACGACCAGCTGTTTAGGCTGTGCGTTGTCTGTCAGTCAGTAAGTCGGGTCATTTCCTTTTATATATGTATAGATATATATAGTTATAAATGATACAGTACTAAAATCTGGCATATGGCGCCATCGTTAAGTATTTGCAGTTGGTTAAATGACAATACAATACTTTTCTTATTTAATTTTGCCTTCTCGTGGAAACACTGTCATGTGATTTTATTGTTTATGAACTCGAGTACCTAATGATATATGGAACCCTAGAGCGCTAATCCGACTAGTTTATTATTTCCAATGTAATCTTATTCTTGTAGATAAATGGACACATCATAAAATACTTCAACATCATCTTACATCTGTACGGTCGTATCCATTAACATTAATAAAAAAAAATCCATTACAATTTTGTTGAGACATTTAATTTGATCGCGTACGTTCCAAGTGGAGCGGTAACCTTACAATAGTTTAAGTACCAATACAAATAGTTTCACATTTCAATCAAGAATATTTCTTTCTTCAGTTATTCGATAACTTAGTGAAGGATAACTTGAAGTGTTTACTTCCTGAGAAAAACAAACTGCCGCTAGAATCCACTTAAAACGCCAAGTATATAATCGCCTAACATTCCATAATGTAAATTGTTAAACATTTTTTTTTACATATTTTATTGCCATCTGGATAGCTGTGGTGATATTGGGTGCAGTCACTTGACTACTTCAATAGTAGCCACGAAATATGTGAAAATTATTTATATGCACAAGTCCAGGGGACTTTCAAACTGAAGAAATCCTTGGTTTTTGTCAAACATTAAGATTTTTTAATATTTTGGTGTGTTATAATGGGTTAACCGAGCTTAGCTTGATATTTATCTTTTGTTTCCTAAAAATTATACCTAGCAAGAACGTTTGATCATTTCCAAAATTCTCTGCATACTAAATTTGTGTGAAAATAAACTGTGACCACGAACATCAAATATTAAAAATATAAATATATAATCAGTTCTAGTAAAATTAGCTGATTCCAAATATGTAAAGGTGTGTAATTATAAATGCGGCGTTGTCGTTTACAATTTTACTGAAAATTACATAATCTTACCTCACCTAAACCTATGATCATAGAATTCATTATCGAATAAAATGTCGCTTGGACCAAATAAGCCTTTCTAACGTCGATATACCTATACTGTTATTATATATTTTATCAAATATCCTTGAAAACATGTGTTGACGTCATGGTAACATAAATTTAAATATGTCAATTGAGTAAGTAGAAAGAAAGAAGATTCATATCGATTTTCCTTAAATCTGTGATTGAGTTAAGGAAAATCGATATGAGTTTTCTGTCTTTTTCTCTCAATCTATTTATACATTGCCATAGAGAATTAAACCAACACTACAGTTGGCAAATATTATCAAACAGGGGTGATAAATGGGTAGAAAAAGAAATTCTATTTAGTCCATCAATCAGATAATGAAAAAATATTAGATATGTCCTTTTTTTGCTACATTTTAACAAAAAATGGTTTAGATAATAGGCATCACAACTATGTAGAAAATGTACAAAGGTGTGACGTCAACATTTCAATCGCCATAATGTATTGATTATGCAAATAAAATATATTTTTTAATATTCTTTAATAAACTGACAGACAAACAAAAGGTAGTCATCATCCCGTGTCCTTGTCGTCTCTAAACGCTGAGTATAGATCGTGTGACGTTAAAATTATATGTGAAATAAACGACATCTTTAAGATAAGCTAATGTATAAGGTGGATATTTCTTATTGTTGGCAAAAACGAGTGAGCCATTAACAATCTTTACTAGTACTAGTGTTGGTAAAGAAACAACGAAAAACCTTGAAACTTATATATGTAATGAAACTGTAACGGATTTTCGTGAACGTGACTTGAAATTGCGTCTGTTTACAGTATACAGGTAATTATCGATTTTTATGCAAAAGACACGCAAAACATAAATCAACTTTAACGAAAATAAAGTTCGAATCCTGTTTTCTATATGGCATAATTAAAATAAAATTGTTAGAAAAGAAATAGTTCGTGTTGAAAGAAAAATAAATTGCAAGATAAGTTTAGAGAATCCGAATATTTGAATTTGCTATAAATAACCATTTACTAATGAAAATTAAACAATTAATACATTAAAAAAACTTGGCGGTAAATACAGGAGACTGTTTTTGCCGCAGGTACAGGCGCAATGAGATAAATAGGGATTATGGCAAGGGCCAGAGGATGGCGAATTGCACATCAAAACTATTTTTAATTATTTACCTTATTAACGCGTTAGCGAATTGGTATATGCAGCCGGGTGCATTCTGAAGGACGGAGATAAGTACTCGTGTTAATAAATTTCTGGTCACTGATCCTATGACTGGCCCTTACAAAAATTTTTCGTAACTGAATAGCAGACTGAGTGATTAGCGCATCATTGCGCCATAAAGCTATTGTTTAAATGTAGTATTTTGGTTTATTGTAGTTATTTCTTGTATTAACTCGAGTATTGAATAAGTACATTATGCATGTACAAAACAGTTTGATAGTTTATTGTCTATAACAGGAATGTTTTAATTGCAATTTCGTGCGCGTTTGTGTTAAAATGCAAACCGATACTTAATAATATAAATTCTATTTAAAATGATATTTATTT